TTTTATTTTGGTTTTTTCTTGGCCTGCCAGTACTTTCGATTCAACAATTTTGTATCCCACGTTTCAAAATCCCTGCAGTGGATGATACTCACGGTAATCACAGCTTTGCTCAGGCAGAGGGAACCCCGGCAGCCGTACTCCGTCTCATCCTGGGACTTGTAGTAGCTCAGCGTGTTGTTTTTCAGCACAACCCAGCGATCCTGCCAGCCGTGGATGTAGTTTGTCCACTGAAAAGAAAAAAAAGAACAAAAAAAGACACAAAATTATAGACAAACAGCGACTATATTTAAATGAGAACCAAGTGAGCAAATAATTAAATTGAAACACTTTAGTTCACTAAGCCTGGCCTCAAATAACATAATGACAGCATATTTTTAAAACACTTTAAAATGTCTCATACCTTTATTTACATTTGCATAAAAATGCTATCTTCAGCACATTACAACGGTAGTCACACCTGTTTTTTTCGTTGTGTTTTTTGTTTCTTGCATTACAACCACAAAGGTCAGTGTGCTTTCTTTGAATTTTGTGACGGATAAACGCCAAGTAGCGCATGACTTTGATGGGGGATTAAAACGATTAATAACATTCAACGTTTCTTTACCACTACATGCAAAAACCAAACAAGAAGCTGGATTATACTGAACACAGTAATACTGGAAGATAAGCTGTGAATCTGTAGTAAGACTGAAATTGATTCTCACAGCCGTTTTCCATCTAATTTGATTGTGATTTACATAGTTATCAGGAAAGAACTGGTAAAAGTCTCAGTCTGTAGATGGGTCAAACTGGTTTTTAAAAAAATCTCACATTTATTTACCAACTTTGTTGATGTACAAACTAAAATGTAACTAAAATACATGCAGGTTGAGGATTTTGGGTTCAACATGGCAGAATGTGAAGAAATCTGATGATAGTGTAGTATGTGTGAATGAGTTGATTGCATTTCCCAGGAAAATCACCTGGGTTTTCATGCAGCACCCAGAGTCATTCATTTCCTTTGAGTCTAAGACAGGCATCTTCACTTCCTGTTTTCAAATCTCTTAAAAACATTTTTTTTTTCCATTTTGAGTTGCTAAGTTCTTTTTGCCTTTATCTGATGTGTGTTTTGAAATGTGAACGTTTTTTTAATGTTTTATGCCTCGACTTTTATTCCATTATTTGTCCTGTTTTTGGTCAAACTTCCGTTTTTCAAATGTACTTTATCAACAAGTTGGATTTGGCTTAACCTTTTCTCATTACAACTTTTGAGATTTTTGAGACTTTATAGTGGGATTTAGATGATGGGCAGAGAAAAAAGGGGAATATATGCAGGGAACAACTGCTTTAGCTTTAACATACGGTGCGTCTGCTCTACCTCTGGGCCATGTGGCGTCGATTAATCATTAATCCTTACTGTAGTTCTGACGTGCGTGGGGCTCAGACTGATCAAACAGGTGAGCTCCACTACATGTGGCTTTGCCTAATCTTACAATATGCTTGGTTAGCAGGTCAGCGTGCAATCTGTTTGGAAATAATCAGCGCATGGTGAGACTGATACCGCATCAGTTTCCTGGCAGCTTATCGCATCAAAACTGTGGTCAGCCTGCACAAAACCGAGCTTAAGACAACAGAGCAGAGGCACATGGAAAAAAACTAACAGTGAGCTTCAAATGTTTGACACAGAAAAGAAGAAGAACAGAGGAAAACAACCTGTTGGTGTTTTAAAGGTGATACAGTCACCTACACAGCCAATCCCTTACTGTAGCGTGCTATACGCCTGTCGCAGTAAATCAATTAAACGCGTGATTAATTAAAACAAACTCAATGTCTATTTGCATGATGAATCGTTTTCCTCTTTTTTTTTTTCTTCAAAAACTAGCTGGCAAAAGTCTTCAGTCTGGGACCTTTGGCTCAACTAGCCTTTTTTTTTTGTTTTTGAAGGACAGTTTTGCCTCAAAATTTACTTGATTTGTTGTTTCTGTTTTGTTTATTTTGGATATTTAAAATGTCTTCCAGTTCCAGAGTTAAAGGTTCATTAGAATCTAAAATTTGTTGATCTTTGAGTATGAAATTTTGCTTTATTATGCCATTATCATTAAATTACTGGAAAATGGGTTCAAAACAACAACATTATCGTTTATCATAATAACTTCTGGGACAATTTATCATCCAGGAAAATTTTTATTGTGACAGGCCTACGTAACTATAAAGCCAGTATCTACAGTATGCCATCTACTCATACCTATAATGCGATTAGATCCTTTAAATTGTATTTACCATAGGGCTGAAATGATTAATCTGATTAAACGATTATTGAAATAATCATCAGCTATTTAATTAATCGATTAATTGTTGAAAGACTAAACAAAAAACACAATTCACTGGAGAAAAAAAACATCCTTTGTCTGTAAATACATCTTACCAAAAACTTCTCAAGTGTCATAGTTTTAGCTTCAGCTGTTTCAAAGCAACACTTTGTTATTGTGTTTTAGACAATGAAATGTTCATTTTCATGTTAAAAAAAGGAATTGATTTATTTGCATATTTTAATGTATTTCTAACAGTGTATAAAAAGGCTCAAGGGGTTAAATGAAAAATCAGAAGAATATGACAATTTTTTTATCTGATTAATCAATTAATTGTTAAAATAATTGCTTACTAAAATAATCGTGAGTAGCAGCCATAACCTTTGACTTAAATTTATTTTTCTATGCCTACTTTAGCTTCTACAATTGTCCGTACTAGAAAATATGAATACACCAGTGTTGTTTTGTTTTTTTCATGTTGGACAGATATTCGACTACAGGCCTCCCACACTGTCTGAAAAAGTACGGACGTTTTTACAAACCTGGAAAAGTTTCACTCCCTATCCAAATATCTACACATTTTATTCATCCATTGTTTGTCTATTACAAATCCATCCACATATCCACTTCATCATACATCCATCCTTCATTACGTAGGGCCAAATCTACAAGGAAATGGGCCCCTGGGCTGCAGGCGGTTTTGGTGCCCCATCTACTACAGGAAAATACTTAATAGGAAGTACTATACATGAATTGATGCATGGTAGATTTAATACCTCCCTTGAACAATAGTTCCATGTCATTCCCAAAGAAATTACAATAAATTCATGGTTTTCAGATTGCTTATGTTCATAAAAATCTCAAACTATTAATACAAATAATGAGTTTTATATAAAATGCAATGCAAGAAAAAAAAATGGGGCTAGTACTTTCTAAAGTCTGAGCCAGCATCCATCCACTACATATTTATCAGTCCCAGGGGGGGGTGATATGGACTTAGAATTGTATTGTGATATTTTGTAGCAACACTAAAAATTATGATCAAAATGACTTTGAAATGCTGTTCTTCTAAAACGTTCATATTTAAAATGTGCTTCTTTGACACGCCACTTGCTTATAGGAGTGTGATTTAAATCACTAACCTGCACAAAGTATCTGTGTTTAACTATATATTTTTATTTACTGTTATTTTTACTGGTGACAATAGTGGAGAAAATAGCAAAAAATAACATTTCCAATAATATTTTTATTTAACCTCACTGACTGAAATTTATCAAGACATCTACAAATCAAAATACAGGATAAATGCCCATCCTGGTTCCTCCCACAGTTTATTATCCCACCATCCATCCATAAGTTTATTACACATTCATCCTTCCACTCATTATCCATCAATGCATTATCAATCAGTTTGATCATTCTTCATCTATCCACTTTATTCATCTGTTCCTTTTTTAAATCCATTATTCAGCCATCCACCATACAGCATCGACGCAATTATCATTCTGCTCATCTTACTCTGTGGTTTTCTTGCATGTCCCACATGCAATACGCTCCAATAATGGTGATCTTTCTCGGGAAATTTGATCTCGGAAAACTCTAAAATGAGATCTGCGCTGAATCCGTCCCTACTCACTAGGAAGCTAAGAGGCATAGCAGCAAGCTATGTATTGCATAGACAGCTCATGTAAGGGCTCTGCTTTGGGATCAGAGGGGGATTACCAGTCCCACTGTTATTGCTGCAACTCCGACATAACCCTGCCCAGAAACAGACGGGCTATGATTTGCCATCGCTGTTCTTGATTACTTAATTTCCGCACAGATGTCAGCACGCGGCTTCCTGGACTTGGGCAGTAATAGTATTCCCAGTTGGTAATGAAACTGAATGAATTGGATAATGTGCGGTTTGTAGGGAAACGCGACTTACCTTACTGAGTACTCCGCTGAACTCGACGACGCCAACAGGGTGCCCGTAGTCCTCTCTGGGCTCTATATCCTCCTCCGAGCCGGAGGAGTTCCAACTTTGGTTGTCTGACATTATTTCTGAATAATCGACTACAAATAGAAACAAAACCAACGAGGCATATGAAACTCAGAGGAAGCAACAGTTCAAGAATCCATGCTGGGCTGCTATCGACTGATTAATAGCTCCGCTGGCTCGGCGAGTTAAGCAAAAAATAAAATAAAAATAAAATAAAAAAACCGCTGAGGGATAGAAAGAATAGTAGCTCCCAGCGGACAGCGTCTGCTAGCTTCAGAGGTTTCCAGCCATTTAGTGGTCAAAACAGCGCAGGTAATGAAAACATTAGCCGAGTCCAAGAAACGGTAGCTGTCAACTCTGCTAAACAGACTCTCCTCCTCGGCGAAGAGTGGCAGAAATGAATAAAATTAAATTAAAACGCGTTGAGGGCACGCTTCGCTGGTCTCGAACGATACGTCGCGGCCTCTCGGAGGAGCACAGTGTCCCCGGCTGTGTTTTGTTTGTGCTCCGAAAACCATTGACAGCTCTACTCCCCTTACGCCAAAGCAGTCGGAGCTTCCCCCTTGACGGCTTGAAGGAGCGCGTGTTCCAACTTGTGTGTTACGCAGGGGCGCTGGCCTCCGAGTGACGTCACCAAATCCACTCCTAAATTGGAAGGAAGCTCCTCCCCCTTGTTTATGGTTCTCAAAATAAGTCGGAGATGCACGAGAATACGCCAAGATTTACTGGAAGGGACTCAGAGGACGACCGGCAATGATTACAAAACATTAAAGACAGAAAATACTGAGAGAAATGCGTCATGTTCCACGTTTTAGAGCCTCGCGTGGAACAAAAAGCTCCAGATACAAAGCATTGCTAAAGTATTTACTCCCTTTGAACTTTTCCACTTTTTATCACATTACAAGAGCTAACCTTTATGTATTCTATGAGGATTTTATTTGATTGACATACACGTAGTGGTGTGCAATAAAATTTAAGAACAAACATTCAAAAACAGTCTCAGAAATAAAAAAAATATGAAAGCTTTGCATTGAGCTCAGCATTCTTTTCAATTGTTTTACTGAGAACAGTTTCCTTATTATTTAAAGTACATTAACAGTGCTCCATCTGAACTTCTAACACACTAGTCAGAACATGCCATTTTAAACCTGTTCTCAGTTTTAGAGTTTTTAAACAATTGTGAGATACTAGCAAGACAATCGTTTCACTTATTTCAGAATTAAAAGGCAACCATTAGCAAAAATGACTTAAACCTTTTTAAGATGAAGGGGGAAAAAACAGGTGGTGCTGTGATCACATGTACTGAACCTTGTGGCACACAAGCAGAAGCTACAACTATCATGACTTTTCTGAGTTAAGCACTGCTGAACTCTGGTTCATGAAAACACATGACTGGACTTTATGCAAGGAAGTTCAACCAACATTCCACAAGACCAATGAGAAAACTTGGCACAGATATCACATGAAAGAATGAAAGAACTTGTACTTGGTGTCGATTTAGAGCTCATTACTATATATATATATATATATATATATATATATATATATATATATATATATATATATATATATATATATAGATAGATAGATAGATAGATAGATAGATAGATAGATAGATAGATAGATAGATAGATAGATAGATAGATAGATAGATAGATAGATAGATAGATAGAACAATTCATTGGACTTCACGGCTAGTGGGTGGTGTAAGCAAATATGTATTGATCCCATTCAGGATTTGTAATGGACCATTTGATGGTGAAAACTCTTATGTAATTTCTTGAAATTTCTGGCAATATCCACACAAATAAGCAAAGCAGCTTATTGAGGACTGAAATACACACTGAGTGTATAAACCGTATTTAACGCTATAAGTCAGTGATGTAAAACTTTCATCAACAACAAATGTTCATTTCTTTCTTGTCCTTATGCTAACCGTTGGTCATGTCATAAGCCTGAGGCGATTTACTCTTCAGCACGTAGACCAACTCATGCTTCTCAGGCCGCCACACACATGCACACACACAAACACACATGTAAACACAGTCGTGTTTGCATCACTTGTGGGGACTTCACATTGACTTCCATTAATTTCTACAGCCTAACACTAACCATCACATACCTAACCCTTACCTTAACCTTTACCCTAAACCTAACCATCACAGACCTAACCACTAACCCAACAGCAACAATTTTCCTCATGGGCACAAAGAAAATGTCCCCACAGGGAGCAATGGTCCCCATAGCCCCGCATTGTAGACAGAAATAGGTTTCCATAAGGATATAAAAACCTGGTACACACACACACACACACACACACACACACACACACACACACACACACACACACACACACACACACACTGTGTTTGGTGAATTTCAACAAATTAAAGGAGAGGAAAGAGAGAGTGTTCGGGCGGATCATGAGGTTTGTGGGTTTGCCTGTTTTCAAGGAAGCCATAAGATTTCAATTAGCAGCACAAGTCGATTCCCTGTGCTGGCAATGAAAGGAAGTTAGAGTGGGAGAAAGCTGAGGTTTCACCCACATCAGTGTTGTGAGTTTTAAATCACTTTGCTGGATTCTATGACGGTGTATTAAGGCTATTGTCGATAGGAAACAAAAAAGGAGGAATTTCTGCTAAAAATAAAAAAATAAATGAAATAAAAACCTCTGAAATTGCAAGGTTAATCTCAGAAATTTCTGAGTTTGAAAAGTTGAACATTTCACTGAAAAAGATCAAAAAATATCAACTCAATCTCAGAAATCTTCTAGAAAAAATATTTAAATTTCTGAGTTTAAAATGTTGAGTAATTTCAACTTTTGGACATTTTTGAAGTTTGAAAAGTCAAAATATTTTTTGAGATTAAAATTAAAATTTATTTTTTTCCCCCATGCATTTCCTTGTTTTTTTTTTTTTTTCAGGAACATTTCTATGATTGATCCCAAAATTTCAGAGATTTTTTTTTCAGGCAAATTTTTGACTTCGAATTCAGAAATGTTCTTGTTTTTCCTAGAGGATTTCAAAGTTTTTCAGCAGGAATTTACTCTTCCTCTTTTTTTTTCTTTGCACAGTGGCCCTAACATCCCATCACAGGATCCACTTCAGCTTCAAAGTACTTGTTGTCAGCCTTTCAGAATCATTTAAACTTGAACAAACTAACAGGAATCAGGAGATTAGAGCGTTCTGTTTGTTCTACACAATCAGAGAACCAGATGGCCTGGCATGTTCCGACTCTTTATCCTCCAAATCTCACAGGTTAAAAAAACATCAGATCTGGTTTTCCCTCAGCCAAACCTTTTTGTTTCACATTATCAGCCTGTAAATCCTGCCGGTCGCCCCGGCAACGTGCCCTGACTCTGTTTTCTGGCTCTGGCTGTGAAAAAAAAACAAGAAAAAAAAAACAGGGCTTGCTGTTAGACTGGAGAGGATTTAGGCAGTTGATGTAATGACATACAAATTGTTCCTGACTCAGTGAGTCTGTGATTCATTTAGAGAGCGGGAGAGTCAAGGACCATGACCATACAGCATCGACGCAATGACTCAGGCTGGGCTGATCGAGCAGTAAACTGATTAAATCACATCCTCTTTCCAGCCCGGCGTTCCCCTTGGGTCAGCAGGAGTGGCCAAAAAAGAATGAAGGAAGCAAACAGATGGATTATCTTTCCTCATATCAATCTAGGTATAACTAGGCACCTTTTTTTTGCCACACAAAAAGCTAGCTTTCTTTGAACCGGCTGTGTAAAGTGACTGCTGAGAAATGATTTCAGGGAAGCCAGTGTCCATGTTGGTGTCTACGGAATCCTGGCTAAAAAGAGCTGGAGGGAGATTTTTACTCCCACTGCTGGTGGATTTGTGTTACTGCACACAAAGAAAT